CCCCCCCTCGGGGAGCCCACTTCTGAGGAGGAGGAAAGGCCATCAGCCCGGGGGAGCCCCGCCGAGCGCCCGGCTTCTTCGGTTCCTGTTAGGTGGATGGAGCAGATGCCCAGAGGGGCTTTGGCCGATGCCAGCAAATGAAGTTTAGTCGGGCTCAGCCATGTCGATCCAGGTGCGTCGTTCTCAAGCACCGGGGCCCCCTCTCGCCTTGGCGTGCTGTCCTTTTCCTGTAATCGGGTTCCCGGGGGCGGCCTGGCAGCCGTGAAGTCCCTGGAGCCTTTGTGTGGCCCCAAACTTGGCCCCTGTGTTCAATCCCCCTTTGTAGCAGCCACAGGCCCTTGGTCTCCTCAGGGTGACTTCGCCCAGGGGCGCAGGGCTGCCTCCGCTTGGAGAAAACCGGTTGCTGAGGGTTGGAATCACACAGACATTTTTAATGAAAGCAAAACGGGGCAACGGGGTCGCGGCCATCGGGGATGGAGCTCAGGCGAGGCAGGGCGGGCGCCATGCCTGTGTCATGGCAGCCACAGCAGCCTGGCGTCAGGGGGGGGGGCGGGGGGCGAGGATGGTCTGGCCTTGGGGGGCCTGCGAGGAGCCCAGGCTGCCGGCTCCATCCCTGGGCAGGAGTGGAGGCTCTGGCCCAGCTGGTTCTGCGAAAACCTCGATGGCGGGCACCTGGCGGCTCCCAGAGCCTCAGCGTAATTACTTAATCACACAGAGCGAGTGAGCCCTGTGAGCCATGAGCCCCTGGGGACTCCCGCCTTGTATATGGCTCTGCGCTGACTCCCTCACTGAATGTCCATCTCCATGTGCACTTTATCCAACTTCCAAGCTGGCGCACATCTCACTGCTGCCCCGTGCCTCTGTGGCTTTCATGTTGTTCTGCTTTGGGAGCAGACAAGACACCCGGGCATGAGAAACACAGATCTTCCCGGCGGGAATCTCCACGTTGGTATTGCCCGTCCTCTGTCTCAGGTCCGGACAGGGTCCTCCTACGCTTTCCAGCAGAGACAGGGCTCCTGGGCGGCCTCGAGGGAAGAGGGAGGGACCAGGGAGCTGTGAGCCCTGAGCGCCTTGCATGTGTGACGAGCAGTCTTCCCGGGGAGGCAGCTGGAGAATGTCCTAAGGACTCATTCACTGCCCGCCAGCCTGGAGTGCCGAGGTCAAAGGTGAGGAGTGATTGTGAAACTATGAAAACTCTTGGCTCCAGGCCTGCTTCCCAGCCCTCTGGCCAGAGTCCGTGTGGGCTGTCCCCTG